CATATAATCCACACAAACCAAAAGAAACGACGATTTTAAGATATTTTTGAGTGTTTTCTTCAAATTCTGGGTCATTCTGCCATGGATTGGTGACATCAGGAATATTCAAAGAGAGACGGAATTGCGTTTACCTTTTGAGGTCATGCTATTGTTCGGGACGTCACGAATAATCAATTTCACGACGTGTCAGGGTCAGTCGGGGTCAATGATGTCATTAATAATCGCCATTATTTGCGGACTATACTGTCGCAAATGATTTTGATTGACCAATCGAATGTCGTGTTACATCTCAAATGAATTAGAACTATCAATTATCTTTTGCATATTTGCATAATTGATATTTCATATTTTTATGTATTGCATAAGTTACAGATTTAAGATTTTAATTCACACCTTTTAATATTCCTGCGGCTTTAATATATCTCTGCTATACACGATGGTGCATTACATTTCGTACCTTGTTCCAAACAACACCTGTTTATTCTAAAACAAAATTTGAAATAATGATTTACAAAGAAGATGTTCTAAGTTTGCGGAGGAATAACAACATTGAAGACCCGTTTTTGTATGCAATCTTTATGTTTTAAGACAACCATGACCTGGATTTGCATCAAAATATGTTTTAGATACCATACAAGATTTTATATATTTGCATAAAAACTCTATAATAGTGTCTTCACTCTACAGTACAGTAATGTAGGTGACTCAATTTTAAAATATAAAACTTAATTCAACTTGAAGACGCAAGTTAGGTAACATGACAAAATTTTGTCCTGGCTTTGTTCCATAAAAAAACAATCTGGTATCAGTCTGTATCAGGTGACATTGGAATATAATTATCTTATGAATTAAAATAACAAGGGTTACATTTTGTAGCATGATGAATAATTTTGACAAGCTTTGTGAAATACATCCGTTAAAAGTGAAAAAAAACTGGCTACATGTAACTGATATGCAAATACAATGAGATACTGTCAATACAATGTATATGATCAGTGAAAAGTAAGGTAAACTATCCTTTAAATGTAGAATCTATCATTTTTGTTGCATTTTTAACAATATTTATTTAGGAAACAGCGCTGCAGTGTTGTCACATTGGACTTGTCAAACGACGGATAACGTAAGCGGGGGCAACGGTGTCCCATCCATCATACAAAGTTTGGGCAAGCTCCAGCAAAATTATCTATGGGCGACATGTCAGGGTGTTACGTCACCTAACACGTTACTCATCGTCCCAAACATGCTCTAGGGACGACACGTCAGGTTGTTACGTCACCTAACACGTTGCCCATCGTCCCAAACATTCTCTATGGGCGACATGTAAGGGTGTTACGTCACCTAACACGTTACCCATCGTCCCAAACATGATCTATGGTCGACATGTCAGGTTGTTACGTCACCTATCTTGTTATCCATCGTTCAAAACATTCTCTATGGACGACATGTCGGGTTGTTACGTCACCCAACACGTTACCCATCGTCCAAAACATGCTCTATGGTCGAAATGTCATGTTGTTACGTCGCCTAACACACTACCATTTGTCCCAAACATGCTCTATGGGCGACATGTCAGGGTGTTACGTCACCTAACACGTTACCCATCGTCCCAAACATGTTCTATGGTCGACATGTCAGGTTGTTACGTCACCTATCTTGGTATCCATCGTTCAAATCATTCTCTATGGACGACATGTCAGGGTGTTACGTCACCTAACACGTTACCCATCGTCCCAAACATGCTCTATGGTCGACATGTCAGGGTGTTACGTCACCTAACACGTTATCCATCGTCCCAAACATGATCTATAGACGACATGTCAGTGTGTTACGTCACCTAACACGTTACCCATCGTCCCAAACATGCTCTATGGTCGACATGCCAGGTTGTTTCGTCACCTAACACGTTATCCAGCGTTCCAAACATGCTCTATGGACGACATGTCAGGTTGTTACGTCACCTATCTTGTTATCCATCGTTCAAAACATTCTCTATGGACGACATGTCAGGGTGTTACGTCAACTAACACGTTACCCATCGTCTCAAACATGCTATATGGTCGACATGTCAGGTTGTTACGTCACCTATCTTGTTATCCATCGTTCAAAACATTCTCTATGGGCGACATGTCAGGGTGTTACGTCACCTAACACGTTACCTATCGTCCCCAACATGCTATATGGTCGACATGCCAGGTTGTTACGTCACCTAACACGTTATCCATCGTCCCAAACATTCTCTATGGACGACATGTCAGGGTGTTACGTCACCTGACACGTAACCCATCGTCCCAAACATGCTCTATGGACGACATGTCAGGTTGTTACGTCACCTTACACGTTACCCATCGTCCCAAACATTCTCTATGAACGACATGTCAGTGTGTTACGTCTCCTAACACGTTACCCATCGTCCCAAACATGATCTATGGACGACATGTCAGGTTGTTACGTCACCTTACACGTTACCCATCGTCCCAAACATTATCTATTGGCGACATGTCAGGGTGTTACGTCACCTAAAACGTTACCCATCGTCCCAAACATGCTCTATGAACGACATGTCAGGTTGTTACGTCACCTATCTTGTTATCCATCGTTCAAAACATTATCCATGGACGACATGTCAGGGTGTTACGTCACCTAACACGTTACCCATCGTCCCAAACATGCTCTATGGTCGCCATGTCAGGTTGTTACGTCACCTATTTTGTTATCCATCGTTCAAAACATTCCCTATGGACGACATGTCAGGGTGTTACGTCACCTAACACGTTACCTATCGTCCCGAACATGCTCTATGGTCGACATGCCAGGTTGTTACGTCACCTAACACGTTATCCATCGTTCAAAACGTGTTCTATGGACGACATGTAAGGGTGTTACGTCACCCTACACGTTACCCATCGTCCCAAACATGCTCTATGGACGACATGTCAGTGTGTTCCGTCACCTAACACGTTACCCATCGTCCCAAACATGATCTATGTACGACATGTCAGGTTGTTATGTCACCTAACACGTTACCCATCGTCCCAAACATGCTCTATGGACGACATGTCAGGTTGTTACGGTACCTTACCTGTTACCCATCGTCCATAACATTCTCTATGGACGACATGTAAGGGTGTTACGTCACCTAACACGTTACCCATCGTCCCAAACATGCTCTATCGTCGACATGCCAGGTTGTTACGTCACCAAACACGTGATCCATCGTCCCAAACATTATCTATGGACGACATGTCAGTGTGTTACGTCACCTTACACGTTACCAATCGTTCAAAACGTGCTCTATTGGCGACATGTCAGGTTGTTACGTCACCTTACACGTTACCCATCGTCCCAAACATTCTCTATGGACGACATGTAAGGGTGTTACGTGACCTAGCACGTTACCCATCGTCCCAAACATGATCTATGTACGACATGTCAGGTTGTTATGTCACCTAACACGTTACCCATCGTCCCAAACATGCTCTATCGTCGACATGCCAGGTTGTTACGTCACCAAACACGTGATCCATTGTCCCAAACATTATCTATGGACGACATGTCAGTGTGTTACGTCACCTTACACGTTACCAATCGTTCAAAACGTGCTCTATTGGCGACATGTCAGGTTGTTACGTCACCTTACACGTTACCCATCGTCCCAAACATGCTCTATGGACGACATGCCAGGTTGTTACGTCACCTAACACGTTACCCATCGTCCCAAACATTCTCTATTGGCGGCATGTCAGGTTTTTACGTCACCTAACAAACCATCCTTCGTCCCAAACATGCTCTATGGACGACATGTCAGGTTGTTACGTCACCTTACACGTTACCCATCGTCCCAAACATGCTCTATGGACGACATGTAAGGGTGTTACGTCACCTAGCACGTTACACATCGTCCCAAACATGCTCTATGGTCGACATGTCAGGTCGTCACTACTCGCTGGTCAAGCGTTGACACATTTTTCAACGATGTAGTCCAATGCAAATATGTTAATTACAAAATGGACACAAAGGCAGCATTAACATTATTATTATTATCATTATTAAATATAAACTATTTTAATTGTTTATAATATTGGTAATGATTTTGTAAACAATATATTTACTTGCGACACCAATAAAATAGTCACTTGTCACAAAAGCAGATTGATGATGGCACACGTGACACGATTGATGTATCTACCCGTTTGAATAAAAACTAAAACAAAGAAATATACATTCTGTGTATAATTGGCTGATGATGCCTAAACATAGCCAAAATAGAAACCAGTTTTCTTGGTAATGTTTTTTTTTTTAACAAACAATACCGGTAATAAAAGGAAACAGGCTTACCCACTATATTTACATTGCTCGATAGTTCTTGCGCTCAATTTTTCCAGATAAAATTTCATACAAACATAATTTTAACATCGTGGATGCCAGCTTGAACAAATCGCAATGTTACTTGTTGTTGAAAAACAGCTATAAACATTATAATCTCGGACAAAACATTATAATCTCGGACAAAACATTATAATCTCGGACAAAACTTTATAATCTCGGACAAAACATTATAATCTCGGACAACACATCGACTTGACAACATACACGTACGCCAGGTCCTACACAATATTGAAATAATATTGTCAGGCCAATACTTTTCGCTAAATTTGTGCAATATTACACATTATGGTAATTACTACTACATCATATTTCTTCTATGTGTTTTTAGCAGACACAACCAATATTGATCTTAAACGTCATCTCTCCGAACTGTCGAATATTTTACAACAAACTCTCATAACAATGCATCTGACATTACTCTCGCTTAAAAAAATCGATTTTGTACAGCACAGTTTTGTTTACAATTCAGTAGTTTCATTTTAATATATACATATTTACAAAGAATATCTTTATCAATCTCTAATATTGTCTTCATTTTGTACAAACATGTACGTGTAAAATGATGACATTGATGCTTTTAAATTAACAGAATATAACGAAATGTGTTTACCTACCTGTGGTTTGCTGTCCTTCATGCTTTAATTAACCTAAAAGAATGAAGTCAACTTAAAATATCTAAAATAATGGTTTCAGAATAATACATGAATATTTTCTTCACATATTATTCAAATCAAACTTAAATATGTATGCTTAATTAAGAGAGTATTAATGTAAAGGACCGTAGCTGATGTATTCCATTCTCAGACGGTTCCTCATGTTTATGATATGTCTGGAATTAATAAATAAATAAATAAAAAAAAATAATGAAAAATAAATCTTCACAAAAGCAAGTAATTATTACTTAATATGATACGTATAGAAAATAATATATAGTCAAATTAAATGAGATAATTCCTTTTGAGAAACATTTGAAAGAGAAGATAGATTATGATATTTAATACGAATTTCGGTAGGTAAATATGGAGACTATAATTGAGTGTGTCCTTCGTGTTGGTTTGATTGAAGAGAAAAATATTGTAAAATCCTTCAAACTAGCAACCAGAACGTATATTTTTGACTTTATGACCACCAGAAAGAGATTAGGAATATCTTCAACATATAGCTCCGAGAACAACTTCAGTAACTTCAATCAGAGCTGATAAAAACATCTGGTAATATCCTTCAATCTATAGTGACTAGAACATCCCTAGTAATATCATTCAATATATAGTCACTAGAACACCCCTATTAATATCATTCTATCTATAGTCACTAGAACACCCCTATTAATATCATTTAATCTATAGTCACTAAAACATTCCTAGTAATATCATTCAATATATAGCTAATAAATCGCCCATAGTAATATCCTCAATCTAAAGCTAGTAATCGCCCCTAGTAATATCCTTCAATATATAGCCACTACATCGCCCCTAGTAATATCCTTCAATCTATAGCTAGAAAAACGCCCATGGTTATATCCTACAATATATAGCCACTACATCGCCCCTAGTAATATCCTCCAATATATAGCTAATAAAACGTCCTTAGTCATGCTCATATCCTTCAATTATAGTCACTAAATCGCCCAAAGTAATATCCTTCAATATATAGCCACTAAACGCTCCTATGTATATCCTTCAATATATAGCTACAGTGTACAGTGTTCTAAAAATCCCCTAGTAATATCCTTCTATCTGTTACCACAAAACGCCCTTACTAATTTCCTGCAGTATATAGCCACTAAAACGCCCCTAGTAACACCCTTCCACATATAGCCACTAACATGTCTCCTACCTAACGCCACCAGAAACCCTCTCGGTCATGTTCTCATGATAGCCAACAGGAAATCTTAGTAAAATTCCTCACTTTTCTTTAATAAATCTTAAAATTCATATTAAGGAAATATTACACTATTGAAAAAAAACTTATTTAAATTCTAATCAAGTTTTCAATATATTACTTTTATTACGTTAATTGTTGTTTTCCAAACAAAGGGGGGAAAGAAAAGTCCCGTGCTTTTATTTTATATATGAGATAGTTTATCTGTCCTTTTCTGAAAAGACAATTTTTTTCCGTTCATCTTACCTTATAATCGTGTTTTAGACGTTAATTCCAAATGACTTTAATCCTTGTGCGATTTCCTAATCTCGATACACAAATAGTGGCACCAGATTCTTTCTATCGCCTTGATGTAAATGCAGTGCGCAAGTACTAAACATATTTATTATATCCTTCACATTATATTTACATAACATAGTATGTTACCCTAGTTATTTTGACCGAGCGGGATCATTTGTATGACGCGAGGCCATGAACTATTTCATGAACTCCACACAGAAAAGAAACGACACGTAATATTTAAATACTCGGAAGGGTTATTTAACTATGATAATTGTACGTCATTTATAGCCGTTGAATATTTTACATAATGTTTCCAATATGCATGGCCCTTATTATCAAGCCAGGAATAACATATTTGTTTAACAAGTAATAAGTTTTAATATACATTTTAGTAAATATTCATAACCTACTTACAGACAATGAATAGTAAGATATTCTGGTATTACAATTTACATCAGAAACCGCATTTATTCGATATTTCCTTGACGGAGATATCACCCTTTTTACGTGTTAGGTAGCGCAATGCTATGTCACAAGAATTGTTTTATAAGATAAAGGTGCAAGCCGTTGTTTTGACAGCGCAATGTTAGTTCTAGATCTGTATATTAGAGAAACTTGCCGACTGAACCAAAAATCACCACATGTAACAAAGCTGACATTCCATTGTCTTTCTGCAACATATATTTCTTCTATAATGCCTTTTGAAAGTGCCATTCGGCGTATATTTCTGGCAGGGGATCACATTTACGGGACAATAGTAAAATGTCAGTTTAGGCCATTGACACGACCAGCATTAGCTCACCGATGTTTATTTAACAAAAAACCTATTTCGTCGTATAAATTACCAAACACTGACATTTCATTAACTTTGCGTCTCATTTCAAGTTAATCGGACGAATTCCAGGTTAGTTTGAATTCACATACATTTTGGAGAAAGATTTTTTCATTTTCTTTTTTGTGCACTCATGTAAATTTACTGCATTTAACAAGTAATTTGTTTAAATCATTAGTACTACACGTTTTTCATTTATCAGTTATTTCATTTAGTGAACAGGCACTGATGGTTACTAAGAGGTGGTCTAAATGGTCTATTATTTACAACAGCAAAACAATACCGAACAAAGCAATAATTCGAACTCAAAATGGAGAGGGCAAGGTCTAAAGGGTCTACTATTAAAACAAAAAAGAAAGAAGCACATGGAAAATATTTGAAAAGTACAAGGGGAATAAGACCTGGTGTTTCAGAGGGGTAGGCGTCTTCTTCTGCAGGGACGACACACGATATGCAAATCTAAGTCAAATCAAAGTAAGAACACGTCCTCACATCGAGAAATCGAGAAGTGACAAGAAAAAACATATGGCACGCTAATGAGCATAATGAAAAAAATCGACATTCTTATCACTACGTTTTTCCGAATGAGATACATGCTGTCGACCACAGAATTTGTTAATTGTCTTTATCAACATGCATTTTGTTAACCCCGTGTTGTCAGTTTGTCCGTCAGCAGTCGACATCTATCACTAAAGTCATAGGGATACGCATGTGAATGCCAAATTAGCCGCAACATGAAAACAACGTAAGCAGGGAACATGGGTGTTACTATCAAGAAAAGGAAACTTCAATATTAAAAAGTCGAAATCTTCCCTCGTAAACCTAGATGTAGTTATTTTCTCATAATTCCTATGCAGGACATGTAAACGATTACGTTTTGTATGGAGGACATGAAGGAGCATATATCGATTTTGTTGCAGGTCAAACAATAATACGTAGTCAGGAAGCTTCAATTAAATTTGTTTGGTCAATTGAGAAAGCCAAACAAAGTCAGCGACTTTAACACGATATTGCCATGAACATGATTTTGTCAGATTTCAATGACGGTCGTTTACATTGTCATTACGATCAAATATTGTGTTACAATGCATTATTAACATCAGTGTAACAAAATAAAGGGTTTCCAACGGAAGACGATCAAGTTCCCTTAAAAATGATTCTTAAAAAGAAGAAAAAAATGAAAAAAAAAATGTAACAAACAATTAATAAGTGGCATTTCGCCATTATACCGGGTTAATTGCCACTTACTCTGACAAGCAGTATGATTGTTTTCAAATGTCAACTTAGCTGAGAGCAAACCTTGTCGCATTATACATTGTACGCGAACACGAAGTGGGGTGAAGCATTATGTTTTTATATCGTGTTTAACTTCCAATGATCCACATTAGTCGTCTTATACGCTTAAATGCAGTGGGCTACAGTTGATTCATTCTTTTGTTGAACTAACACAGGTTACAGTGTTTTTTTGTTGTAATTTTGTTAGTTTAATCTAAGATTTATACCAAACAGTAGACCCGCATTTAACTTATTGCTTGAACTATTTATGGTATTCAACGGGAAAACGATTCAATATCCTCCATATTCAGTCACTGCTTGCTCCAGTAGTAATATTAATAAAACATTGTTTTCTGGATAACATGTTTCCGGTATTGGTGCCGAATGGTTATGTATAGTTTGGGCCTGTTTTGGCCCCCGAATGTATAACCATACAAAGTCCTTTAAATCACCCCTCGAAAAATTCGCATAAAGTCTTTTCCGTCTAAAACTGGCATTCGTATCTACAAAAATGTTATTGTAAACAGGAATTTAGTTTGTATATAAAGTCCAGTCATCAAACTCATTGTTATAGAAATGTACTAATTAATGGTGACCTCATACAATAGTCTCAATCCAATAAAAGATAACAATCACCAATACAATACAATGTACAGTTTTTAAAAGTACATTTAAAAAAGTATTACTATCGATAATTTTCTCCCTTTTTACTTCATATTATACAATGCAATATTTGTACACAATATGCAAAACATGGTTTGCTCTCAGCTAAGTTGGCATTTGATTTTTTTCAAACCTTGTCGCAAAACAAATTTACTTATACTCTCATTTCATTATATACACAAAGTCGAGGTTGTAGCTGTATACAAAAATGCATTTCATGCAATACGTATGGATTAATATACTGCAAGTTAGCGTGTTTATATTGCTCATATGTAAAGGGTCTTTCAGACAGTACCGATATACCTCGCCGGGACTAAACCGGAACATAAAATTAACAACGGCTAGAAAACCGACAGAGCTCCTGCGAGAAAGCACTTGAAAAATCAAAATTGACCGTAGCAATACCGATGAAGTAACCGGCATTCCCGTTTTGATACCGTTGTGATACCGATACAACGTTTCTGTCACCATAATGTTACCGATGCGCCGCCGATGCTATACCGTTGCGTCGCTGTTGTTCTATCGATGTGCCACCATTGACCAGAGCTATAGCGGAGTAATACTGTTGCACATCGCTAAGAACGGTAGTACATCGGCGATGCATCAGTACTACTTCGTGGTATTCGGTAGTGCTACGGTATCACATCGGTACCGGTACGGTATAAATAAAGGCCTCTGGATAGCCGCCGATCAATTAAGGGGATCCCGGAGTTACCGGTGCTCTACCGATATCAATGTTAACGAAGCCATACCGGAGTACTACCGTTGTAGTCTCATTGCTCGCTACAACGATGTTTTACCGTTCTTAGCGATGTGATACCGTTGCGCTGCCGTACTGTTCCCCGAAAATTGCCAAAGGAGGTGTTGCATAGAAGGTGAAAATCGGTACACTATACATTTTGGAAGTTTTAGTGTAAACCAATTAATTTGAACAATTACGTTTTAAAACAACGTTTAAACTTCACCTGGACCGCAAGTTTCACTGCAGCGCCCCTTACACTGAAGTTCAAAATAATTACCTTCCCGTGTGCCTTTAATAGGATCAGTGTGGCAAAAACAAAAACATAATTGCAATTTGCTGGCACATTTAAGTTACATATACAATTGTCTTAAAAATGATATATAACAATTGGCCATATGTTATATCAATTTTTCGCAATTTACCATAAACCTGTAAATCGTCTCCCATAAAATGACTTTTCAATTTGGGACTTTTTTGCTTTTGTAAGAGTATTTCCAAGATAAAACTCGGGTTCCATCAAATTTCTACACTCTAATTTTTTCTTAATTATTTCATCTTTCTTGCATATGAAACTTGTGTTGATGATCCACATGGATATGCCCACTTTTTAGGACTTTTTTTCTGCTACCCCCAAAGTACTGATAGTTCTGAATCAATTCTGCCATCAGGTCTTAAAAAACGTTTTGCATATCGATCAACCCCATATTGATTTATCGATTGGAATATGGTCAAAAAACAATAGTTTGGGTTTATGTACATGGAATGTGACTGAAGCGCCACATTTCTATAGCATTTTCATCAATATCGATTTACATTTTAATCCTTGGTGAAATACTTTTTTTTTGTTTACTTCATTAATACATTTGAAAATGTGTTCTACAGTACGCATATGCGATGTAATGCATGAGTTTATCGCATGCAAACCACAATAACTGCATGACACACTTTTGTTAATTATAGTTTTTATCACTTAATCATCATGACAGAATGTATTAAAAAAGGACCCCAGACCCTACCTATGACATGAAATAACTAGTTTCTGTTATACCGTTAAAGTATAGTTATGAGGGATAGAGCAAGTTTCTGGATCCCCACGACCAGGGCTATTTCCCCGAGTAAATTAGAAATTGTTTTTTTTTAACAGCATCAAAATAAACAAATCGTAGAGTACAGTACAACAATATCATTTGGCAAGAGTGGGATGTTGATTTAATTTTAACATTGAAAACAAAAATGGATTGGCAACAAACCTTAGGTAGGACAACCTTGATTTCAGCTAGACTTGAGAAACAACGCATGATTGTGAACTCATTTTAACACCAGTAAGACGTTTGATTTCAATTGACCCAATATATTCAATTTTTAGAGGTCTGTGTGAAAAGAAAGCCCAAGTAGATGTTCCTGCATTATCTATTTTAAGCTCATATATTACAGAGAAAACTTTGGTTATGTTCCAAACGTAAAACATCAAACTATTTAGTCTGATAAATAACCGCTAGTTAGCCTTACTTGCTCATATTGCAATATTTTTAGGCACTTTGCATGTTTCCCTCATTGAAAGACCCCAACCAAATTGTAGTTAATACTTAAAACCAATAAAGCTAAGGAAATTGTTAAACAAACAAAATATCTTCAGGAAGAGGAAACCATGGAAAATGCACAACGAGAATAAGGCCAGTTTCTCGGAAAAG